GAAGAGTGTTGAGGGAAGGCTCTGGATTTAGGAGTCCTGTCCAGGGAAGGCTACCGGGACCTCCAGGAGGTGCAGGTGTGGCCTGAGGGGGGCTTCCCAGGATGGAGCCATGCGGCAGCCCACAGAAACTCAGGTCGGAGCACAGAGTGGGAAGGTGTGATGAAGAACAGGGGCGGGGGGCGGCGCGGTGGAGCTGCAGCCCAGGGCGCTGGCAGAAGGCTAGCGTGTGATGTGGCTGTGAAAGGAGGCTGAGGCCAGATGGCGGCGACTTCGAATGCCAGGCTGAGTCGCCTGGGCACGCAGCAGGCACTTCCAGGAAGACTGGCTGACCAGGGCCGGGGACCGAGGGAGGTTCCTGAGGGCGTCCAGGTGAGTGGTAGGGTCTCTGCACCTCACAGGCCACTGAGACCCTCTGGGCCTACACCCTCCAGCTTCCTCTCCCTTCAGGAGAGGACAATTTATTTATTCATGAGCATACAAATGCTCCCACCAGGCAGCCAGCTCCTGTACACCTCACTTCTAATTATAGCAGGAATTTCATTAATGCTGGAGGGAGATGCCAGGTTTCCAACCACCCCTTGTTAGTGGGCACAGGCCGCCTCTCGTTCTCTTGCTCCAGCTGGTGGCCAGCGACCCACATGCCCAGGACGGTACAGGGCAGCTGCAGGGTGGGCTAGCAGCCTGCACTCCTGAGCCAGGAGGTAGCTGGCACAGCAGGGCCATGGGGAAGGGATGGCACCTGCCCCCACCACCTGGCCACACACGGAGTGCAGCCTCCAGCAGCTGGGAATGTGGGGCTGTCTCAGACCCACCAAAGAGCAGGGTGGGAGGAAGTGGCATGTTGGCTGGAGCCAGATTTAGGCAAAGGCAGCAGGTAGGGAGGCCTCTGTTGTGCAGAGCCCTGGGGATGACAAGAAGCAGTGATGCGGTGGCACGGTGCAGCCGTGCTGCTGGGAGGCCTGCTAAGGAGTGGCCCTAAGAAGGAGAGCAGAGGTGAGGAGGTGCAGGGACTCTGGGATACGCTGCAGGGACAGGGAGGCGTGCTGTGGAGGAGGCAGCGTCTGGGAAGCTGGGCAGGAGAGAGCTACAGGGAGAGATGAGGACAGATAGCCACAGGGAGACGGGACAGAGACACGCAGAGACGGACCCACTGCCCCACCCTGCAGGGAGAGCCCAGACACACGCGCGCGCGCGCGCACACACACACACACACACACACACACACACACACACACACAGCTGAGCTGGAGCTTGGAGGCCAAGGCTGGAAGAAGTAAAGAAACGACTAGTGCCAAGTTAGGCTTGGCTGCTCACAGAGGACCCCCCTAGCAGACCAGGCCCGCCTAGGGGTAGCTGGTTGGGCCCACCCAGAGACTTCAGGCCAGAGGCTCAGGGTGTAAATCTGTGGCAGGAGGCATGGCCGCCAAATCCATGCCCTCCGGTGACCATGGGGAGCTGTCAGGACCTCCAGCTGTGGGAGGGCAGGTCAGAACACTCGGGCCTGAATGCTTGCCCCCCACACTGCCCCTCAGTCCGCTCCACTGTGGTCCGGGCCGCCCAGGCCAGTCTGAATGTGGAGCCAGTGTGCACATGGAGGTCCTGACACACACGGGAGGGAGGGATCTCCCCTTTCCTTGAATACTCATGAATATTCACATGTCGTGCTGAACAATCACACCCATACACAGGCGCACACTAGTACACACGCACTTACACACAAGCACACAGTCACACACCCTCCTCCTTCCCTCTGGAAGCTCTGAGCCTCCCAGAGCCACTACTCAGGTTAGGGTTCACTATCATCCTGGGTCTCTGGGCAAGGAACCCCGGTCCCACATTAGGGCCAGAATGAGAGAAGCTGTTAAGAGGAAACTGGCTTTGTCAGGCCCAGCTCAGGCTCCCAAACTGAGCTCATCCGGGCAGGTGAGTTCACACTCCCCTGGAGAACACACTCCCCATCTGCTGCCCTCTCCTGAAGGATCGTGGCCCAAATATCAGAAAGGGAAAGGGAGCTGCTGAGGTAACACCAGACAGACCAGCATATAAGACCTAGGTCTGAGGCCCCCACCTCCAGACAAGGGCTTTCTATTCCTCCCCATCCCCCTGCCCAACCCACAGCCTGTTAGACACCCCCTGATGTAAGGAGTATGGATCTTTCCCTCAACCCTGCTCAGTGCCCCTATGTCCATGCAATGGGGCCAGTCAGGGAGAGCAGGCACTGATGCTTCAGCACCTGTATCCTCATCCAGTCCCCCCGGGACCTTTGGGAAGGGGCTCCGAAGGGAACAGACTTCCTCCCCACCAGTGCAGCCTCCCCAGTAACCATTCTGGAGAGCCTCATGCTCTCTCCCAGACTCAGGGATGCTCCAAGCCCCAAAATCCACTGTCTAAGTGGCCCATACAGCCCAACCCCAGCTTGCACACAGTTTAGTGACAAAGAACTCACCACCTCTACAGGAGGCGGCTTTTTAACATAAAATCTCCAGATAGCTCAGACTCTTGGAAAGTTGAACTGAAAGATGCCACAGAGATAGCATGGTTACCACTACAGGGCCCAAGGTCTCCTGGCTGGAGTTCACCAAGCAAGACTGTCCTTTCATCATTAGCCTGGAAAGTGACAGAACTGGCCCCTCACCCTGACTATCACTCCAAATTATAACAGAGCTACAGTCACAAGATCCTGTGGCCAGTACCACCTCCTTCACTCAAGACAGCTAGTTAGGGCCCACAAGAATCACTCACTCACTCACTCACTCACTCAATTAACAGAGTATCAATGGGGCCACTGCTCTGTGCCAGGGACTAAGACATGGTAGTGAAACAAGGGTTCATTCAATGTTTAGTTTAACAGCTGCCCTTCACCCATTTTACAGGTGGCAAAGCTGAGTCCAGGGAAAGGCAGCAACTTCTCAAAGCCATACAGGGAGCCAATGGTCAAGAGCGGAGCCCCACGCTGCCGCTGTTGGCGCTGACAGTGGGCCAGCCTGGGAAGAAGGACAGAAGGCGGCACTTCCGCCGTCTCCACCCCCGGCCGTTTCTAGGACACCAAGGTATTGATTACCACCCTCGCCTTGGAGTGGTTTTCTTTTCTTTCCTTTTTCCACCAAGGCTTTCTGTTCCTCATTTTTTTTTTTTTTTTTCTTTTTCAAAGAATCAACTCAAAGCCGCTCCTATGATTAATTACCAGCTGCCTAATGCTCCGCCACTGGCAATTTCTGGAAAAGGAATGAATTACCTTGAAAAGCATCCGAAAAGAGAACCCACCGTGAAGGAGAATTTCAAAGGTTACCAGACAATTAGCAGAGGGTTCCCCTAGCCTTATCGAGTTGCAGGCAGGCCCCATCGGGGAGGGGCAGGCCACCAGCCTGGGGGCCACCCTCTGGCTCCAGAAAGCAGCGGGCTTGGCGGGCTGGACAAGGGCTGCAGGGCTTTCCCCAAGCAGCTCCCACGCTTGTCCTGGGGCCCCGCCCCTGGTCTCCAAGGCCTTGTGCACTGGTTAATCCTGACGGACCTCGGTTCAAATCCCCACTCCAGCACTGACGGCTCTGTGGGTTTCCTAACCACGCCGAGCCTCTGGAGAATGAATTAGACAAACCTCCCTGTGGGATTCTTGTGGGGAGAAAGAGGTATTAAGGGAGCATAGCTCCTGGCACACACACAGCAGATGCTCATGAGGCAGTAACATTTAAAAATATTCATGGCTTCTAAGCATCCTCACAGCAGCCCTGTCAGCAATGTCAGTATAATCAGCCTCATTTTCAGATGAGAAAGCTGGCTCTCACACAAGGGAAGGGACTGGCCCAAGGTCACGCAGCGGATCAGCAGACGGCCGAGATTTCTTGCAGCGGGAAGGGAGATGGAGCCTGGCTCTCCAATGTCGGAGCCTGACTGAGGCTCGCCCGGCCTGCCCCAGGCCCCTGGCAGTGCTAAGCTCCAGGAGGGACGCTGAGGGCAGCAGGGGATGTTAGGAGACAGCCCCACACCAGGGCGAAGACTCCCCTCTCCTGGGTGCCTGAGCACCACAACGCCTTAGGACAAAGGGCTGTGGCCCAAGTGAGGATTTTTGTGAAGCCTCTCATCTCTAGGTTGAGAGTTGCCAAGGAAACAGGGATTACACAGGTCACCCTCGGGCACAGGGCCAAGGGAGATCACCTTGAAATGCCACCCCATGATGAGAAATGCTGGGGCACGGGACAGAGCTGAGCTCAACCTCAGGACCTGCTGGCCCCAGCTGCTCTCAGTTGCTCCTCAAGGGGCCCTGCCCCCCTTATCAGGCCAGGGGTTCAGTTCGTGTCCATCCTGGCACTGATGGGTCTTCAGGGGGAGCAGGGTGGTGGAAACTGAGGTGTGTGGAGAGAAAGGTGGGTTCCAGCACCCTTGAGGAAAAGGACTGACATGTCCCCAGTCCTTGCTGTGTGCCAGGTGTGCAGTCTCCTCACCCGACAGTGGGGCAGGTGCCGACATCTCATTCCCATTTGATAGATGGGTAAACAGAGGCACAGAGTAACCATGTGTGCCAATCAGGATTTGAACCCAGGTGGTCTGACCCCAGAGCCCAGTGTGTATCCACCTCAGCGTGTTTGTGAGAGTGGGTAGAAGGGGTGGTAGCCCTGCACCCATTTCAGCCCAAATATTCCTGCTCACCCAGGCCTCCTTTCGTGGGGCTGCCCCTACCCCACAGGGTTTAGAGCGGTACAGACAGGGCTCCTGTGCCAAGACCAGGTAGCCAGACCTGCCCCTCTCCCTGGGCAGACCTCCAGCCCCCACCCCTAGCAGCTGCTCTAGAGAAATGCCAGGCCAAGAGGTCCCTGGGTGCCAGGTAGAGGGACGGCCCATTTGGGGCATGATGAGGTTCCAGTAAAGGTGACTTGTACCCACTCCTGCCCATCAGGGCGGAGGCCCAAGTCAAAGGTCCAGCATGCTAGGGCCAGCACCTGCCCTCATCAGGACTTGCCTGCTTCCGACCCAGCCACCTCCCACCAGCCCAGTGGCACACCTACCTCAGTGATCTGCAAATCACCAGTGGCCCACGCGCCGGTCAGCAGCTCGCGGCCCCTCCACCTCACTCCAGCTCCATCCTGCTGCAATAAGAGCCGGAGGTCAGTGGGTCTACCCGCAGCAGAGGCCCGGGCACTGACCCTGAGGCCACTGCCCAGTGCCACCGTATCATCCCCATCTGACAAAGGAGGACTCCGAAGGGACATGATGGGGTGCCCTGGCCTAAACAAGCCCCTGACTCCCCACACCTGCCAGTTACTGGTTATGTGATTACGGATATGCTCTCAGACTCTCTGGGGTTCAGTTTCCTCATGTGTCAAAGTGGGGTCAAAATATGTCTCCAGGTCACTGGGAGAATCCACAGAGAAGTGATGACAAAGGCACTTGGCATTCACCCACTCATTTAACAAACATTCAGCAAGCATGTAGATGTGATAGTGATCCCTAGCCTTGCGGAGACTCAGACGAGAGCAAAGAATCAAATAATACAAAAGTAATAGCAGTGCTTGCCAGAAACAAATGATGAGTCCAGGGTCCACAGAGCAGAGACTCAAGGTCCCAGGTAGCCTCTCTGGGGAAGTGAAGTTGAGCAACAAGCCAGGGAGAGGCAGGCCAAGATGTGGCAAACGGCGCTCTAGGCAGAGGGAACAGCATATGCGAAGACTCCAAGATGGAGAAAAGTGACTGGCCCAGTGGAGGACTTGGGGTCCGTGGTGTAGCAGATGCACTGAGCAAGGGAGAGGGTGGTGTGAGTGGGGACCACGGGCCAGGGACAGTAAGAGAGAGAATGGGCAGGAGCCACAGCAGCATCTGGGCAGCTGAGGGACGTGACCCTAGTTCTAGTTCAGGAAGCCCCCATGGCTGTGAAGGGAGAAGGGCTTGGAGGGATAGGAGGAGGCAGAAGAGCAGTGGGGACGCTGCTCCAGAGTCCAGGCCAGAGACAGTGGTGCCCAGGGCAGAGACAGCAGCAGGCAGAAGTGCAGGGCCTGCTGGTGCACTGGGCATGCAGGTACACGACCATCCTTGTTGGGTGGCGCTCGGCTGGTCCACCTCCTCAACGGCCCACCAACACGCCCCCCACTGCCGAGAGTCCCGAGGGCAGGAGGGAAGATGAGACCCAGAGGACTGGTTGGTGGGCTTCTCTGGGGTCTCAGCTGGAGGCTGGGATGTGTATATCCCTGAATTCAGGCTCTGGCTGTGAAAGTGTCCCGATGCGTGGCCATGAACAATCACTGTGCCTCTCTACACCAGAGTGTCCACCTCTAAAAACCAGGAAACCTGACTGCAGGGCCAAGCTCCTCTCAGAACAAGGCCCGTGGCTCACAGCAGGGGAGGTGGTGCCCACATCACATGAAGCATAGGCCTCCATACACACCAAGGGGCTGGGTAAGGGCCTTAGCCTGGGCTCCACCTCACTGTGCACAGGCAGGGGCTCCCAGGGAGAAATGGTGCCCAGGGCCTCGGTAAGAGGCAAAGAGGCCTGGTGATCGAGAGGCAGGCTCAGTAATCACAAGGATCTGCTTCAAAGCGTGGCTTTGCCCTCGTACCAAGTGTGTGACTTGGACATGTTTCTTAAGCCTCCCTCTGCCTCAGTTTCCTCAACTGTGGTAGGGGATATAGAAACAACGAGAAGGCCTCCCTCAAAGAGCTATGCAGACTGTGTAAGGCAGTGCATGTGAGGGCCAGACACCAGCGGCTCTCCACACACGTCAGCTGTGGCATGGATGACCCTGTGGGGGCCAGTGCTGGTCTCCATGAGTGCTGGAACCCCACACCCCAAGATCCTGGAGCCAGGCCCAGTGTCCCCACCCCAGCCATGGGGAGAGGAAGTGGCTCTACATCCTGACCTTCTGGTTCTGGCAGCCCCCAAATTCTGCTTACCTTGGAAATACAAACGGTTTTGGGGTTCATTGACCCCAAAACTTCCCTTTCACTGAGGAGGAAACTGAGGCCCAGAGACAGGCAGTGTTTGCCCTCATATGGGGTCACTGCAGTGAGTCAGTGACTGGGGCAGAACTGGAGTCAGTCTCCTGCCTCCCCACCGCCCACAGCTAGGCCTTTTCCAAAGGCAAGCTGGCCAGCAGAGCCGCTGACAGAGAGAAAATAATTATCTTGGCAGCTGAGACGGAAGCCAGAGCCGAAAAGCCCTTGCTCCCCAGTGAGCATCGGCCAGGCCCCGAGAATCGGTGTCGGGCCATCAGCCTCTCATGGGTGCTCGGCTCACGGTTCATGCACGTACCTCACTGCCCCAGCCACCCCAGCCCCTTGGTGTTGGGCTTGTGCAAAGGGCAAACTGAGATCAGAGAGGGGAAGGGACCCAGCCAGGGTCACACAGCCATAAGTGGGGGTGCTAGAATTTGAACTCAGGCCCTGGTTGGGGGACAGTGAGCCTGTGTTGGGCCACCCCGCTGGGAAAGAGAGAGGGAGTAGGAGGGCGCCCTGTATTGAGTCCATATTGTGGACTGTGCCCTGGATATTTCCTTTAGCCCTCAATGAAACGCTGTGAGGTAGACACTGACATCCCTGATTTCCACATGAGGCCAGGAGGTTCTATAACCTCCTGAGGTTGCACAGCTAATAAGGAGCTCACAGGAACACAGCCGGGATGTGAGTAAGCAACCCATGCCCACTCAGTCTGCCCGCTACGCGGCAGCCAGCCTGAGAGCCTGAACCCTGCCCAGCCCTGGGAGCTGCTCAGCAGCCCTGCTCAGGGCCAGACGGCGCTGGGCACCCCTCCTGCTGGGAAAGGGGGGCTCAGGAACCAGGAGCCTGTGCCATGCTGTGCACACCCACCCTGCTGGTGCCTTAGCCGAGGCTCACAGCCTGTGTGGACTTGGCCTCCTGGGGAGTTCAGGGAGAAGAGAGGGCAGGAGATGAGGTGTAGCCCCGTTTGCTCCCAGCCTGGTCAGGCGGCAAGGATAAACCACGAAGGGCTGGAGAGGAGCGCTCTTTTCTGTAAAGGCCTTGGTGCCACGGAGTGGGTGCAGCCTGAGCCTCAAGGCCAGTGGAGGCCCACCCAATGTCCCCATGAGGCAGGGACCCCAATGCCCAGATAGCTCTCCCAGGCACCCTCAGCACAGCACCTCTCACTTCTGGGGGGTGTGAGATCCTGACCACAGGGCAGCTTCTCATTTCGAGAACAGAAAGGGCAGCATGCAGACAGCAGCCTGAAACACCCTTCACTCTCACAGTGCATCTGAAGCTCCTGGGGGAGGGGAGTTGCAGTGTCATTGCAGAACATGACACTGAGAAGGATGGGGCTGCCAGAGGTGTCCAGCTGGAAAGTGACAAGGCTGAGTCTCAGACAAGGCAGATGTCACTTGGGGGTAGGGACTGTCCTGGGACCAAGAGGGATTCCCCCCATCACATCTATCTTCCCAGCCCCACCTTCTCCAGGGATCCCTGGAAGGACCTGGGTATGGGCTGGGGTGGAGGCACTTGGTCAAACTGACCCAGGGCTGAGTCTGACCCAGAGAGATGCAGGGTCGGTCAATCCAGGATTCCTGGAGGGCAGAGGTGCCCAAAATGTGGGGTATCCAGGACCAGGGGTGGCTCTAGGCCTGTGGCTAAGTAGCCAGTTGGTCTCTACAGCTGCTAAGGCTTGGGAGTCCACAGCTGGGGCTGAAGCCCCTGGCCTCAAGGGTTAGGGCAAGAGTGGGTAGAGCTGGGTTTGAACACTTGCTGGAGGACCTTCAGCAAGTCACTAGGCTTCCCTAAGCCCCCAGCTCCTCCCTAAGCAGGGGCCGACCGCCCTCCATTGGCTCTCACCAGGGAAGGCTCCAGGCTGCACTGGGGGAGGGGGCAGGTGGCCCTGGTGCTGTGCTGGGCAGGGGTTACATCAGGGCTTACACCTTGAACCTGGAATTCAGGGCTCCCATAACCAGGCCTCAGCTCCTCCTTCTTGCTGCTGACCACACACGTGTCTTGGCCCTGGTAGCTGTGAGGCCTTCACAAGATACGGGGTGTACAGATGCAGGTGCCAAGGAGGAAGAGCTCAGCCCACGGTGCCCACCTAAGTCAGGGCAAGGGTAATTACTCAAGGTCATAAGTGGCAAAGCAGGGATCAGAACGGTGGTTACAAGGGTGTCCACCCACACCTGGTCCAACCCACCGCTCCCCTGGCTGAGCCAGCAGAACCAGCTCCCGCTACACTGACCCTCAGGCGCCTGAGCTGTTCTACCCTCATTTCACAGATGTGCCAAACAGCTGCTGGTCAGGCGACAAGCAGATTCTTGGGGTGACAGGGGATTCCCCACCTTGGAGAGCCCCGCCACCACACACATCCCCTTACATGACCCCAGGGACAGGCCCCTGTCCTCCCCTGGCAGGCCAGTGCTGACTCCAGGAGTAAGGCAAATATTTACCCCATGGTTATCCAAATGGGGCTGGCTGCCCCGCCTCCTGCATTCCTGAAATACCTGTTCCCTGACCTCACCAAGCTGGGGGTGAGGATCCAGACACAGGGAAGAGCCAGACCCAGGCTGGGCCAGGGTGCAGGCCAAGGCCCACTGGCCAGAAGGATGAGGCAGCCCTAAATCGCCCCTCCGGCCTTGCACCCACCAGCGGAGGCTCCAGGGTGCTCTGGACATTGGCCGTAGCAAGGACCTCCCCCATGGACAACGAGGGGAGAGGGTCACACTGCCCCAGGGTGCTGTGGCACCAATGCCACCTCAGAGCTCCTGTCATTAGGCCTCAGCTGTTCACACTTGCTGCCAACTGACCACACACACACACACACACACACACACACCCCTTATGCCTGCAAAGAGAACCATTCAACCTGCTCAAACATGGTGGAGTCTCCCACCTGCCAGGTTCCCCCCTCTGTAACCCTGGCAGCTCTCACTGCCCCACTCCACCACTCCATCCTCAGCACAATCCTGTCACCAGGGAGCTGTGAGGTCCCACTTTACAGAGGAAGAAACTGCTGAGCAGAGAGCAAAGGCCACGCATCACACAGTGGCAGAACAGGAGCCGCAGTCCCCTACATGGCGCCTTGTGCAGCTCTACGTCTGGTCACTGTTCTTTGGAACCCTATCCATCCTTCGATGTGCAAAGAGCCACCACCTCATGCTGCCTTCTC